TCGGGTACCCGAAATACTTTGGTTCGGGTCGGGTTCGGTTTTGGTTCTTTAAATACCAAAATTTTGAACCCATTCGGATATTGAATCAATTTCGGTTCGGGTTTAATACTACTTTTTTGGATTGGGTTTGGTTTGGTTCTTCGGATCCGGGTTTTTTTCCCAGCCGTAATAAATTTGTTTTAATTATATAATTATATAAGATTATAGAAATTATGACATATAATTAAAATTATCTAATATCATGGAGAACTTAATGAATCAGCAAATTCACTTCTTAAATAAGTTTTCTTGAGTAATGATTATATTTAATTAATAATAGATAATTTTTATATTTTAGCTTTAAATTCTATAATAAAAATATATTTTCAAGATAACAACATAATATATAAGAATTACCTTATTTTATAAAAGTATACTATTCTTAGTGTAAATTTATTTCAATTATAGAATAACTACAAATTTTATATCCTATTTTAAAATTTCTAATAGAAAAATATATTTTCAAGACAACAACTTAACACATAAGAATTATATTATTTTCTAAAATCTGATAATACTAATATAATTTTTTTAAATATATAAGAAATTATATATAAAATTTTAGTAATTATGATAAATTCTTAAAATTACTGAAAATCATGGAAAATATAACAAATCAACAAAAATCAAATTAACTTCTTAAATAATAGTATAGTTTTTTACATGTTAATATTAAATTTTATAATAGAAAATTTATTTTCAAGATAACAACATAATACGTAAGAATTAACTTATTTTCTAAAATATCAATAATAAACAAAATTAGAGAAATTCTGATAAATTATCAAAATTACCAAGGATCATGAAGACAAATCAACAAATTCACTTTTCAAATAATTTTTGTGATGATTTATATTTAATTATTAGTTATAGAACTTCTATATCTTAATTTAAAGTTTTATAATACGAAAATATATTTTCAACATAACTACATAATACATAAGAATTATCTTATTTTAGAAAAATATAAAATTATTAATATAAATTATTTTTAGTTATATAATAAATATAATAATTTTTATATGTTAATTTAAAATTTAGGTTTTATATATAAAATATATTTCAAGATAACAACATAATTCACAAGAATTATCTTATTTTCTAAAATATGATATATTCATATAAATTCATTTTATTTAGAAATAAATTATATATAAATATTAAAAATATGATAAATAAATAAAATTACCTAAACTTATGGAGACAAATTTACTTCTTTAATAATAGTATAGATTCACAACTTTTGGAATTAATGAGAATTGCTATTATAATATGAACAATTTCAAAGTATTATATATCTATATATATGTATTGAATGTTTTATATTTATTAAATCTAAAATAATTAATATATATAGGTATATAAATCTCTTTCGGATATATTCAGGTACCCGAAATACTTTGGTTCGGGTCGGGTTCGGTTTTGGTTCTTTAAATACCAAAATTTTGAACCCATTCGGATATTGAATCAATTTCGGTTCGGGTTTAATACTACTTTTTTGGATTGGATTTGGTTTGGTTCTTCGGATCCGGGTTTTTTTCCAAGCCCTAATAAATTTGTTTTAATTATATAATTATATAAGATTATAGAGATTATGACATATAATTAAAATTATCTAATATCATGGAGAACTTAATGAATCAGAAAATTCACTTCTTAAATAAGTTTTCTTGAGTAATGATTTATATTTAATTAATAATAGATAATTTATACATTTTAGCTTTAAATTATATAATAAAAAATATATTTTCAAGATAACAACATAATATATAAGAATTACCTTATTTTATAAGAGTATACTATTCTTAGTGTAAATTTATTTCAATTATAGAATAACTACAAATTTTATATCTTATTTTAAAATTTCTAATAGAAAAATATATTTTCAAGACAACAACTTAACACATAAGAATTATATTATTTTCTAAAATCTGATACTACTAATATAATTTTTTTAAATATATAGGAAAATATATATAAAATTTTAGAAATTATGATAAATTCTGAAAATTACTGAAAATCATAGAAAATATGACAAATCAACAAAAATCAAATTAACTTCTTAAATAATAGTATAGTTTTTTACATGTTAATTTTAAATTTTATAATAGAAAATTTATTTTCAAGATAACAACATAATACGTAAGAATAACTTATTTTCTAAAATATCAATAATAAACAAAATTAGAGAAATTCTGATAAATTATCAAAATTACCTAAGATCATGAAGACAAATCCACTTTTCAAATAATTTTCGTGATGATTTATATTTAATTATTAGTTATAGAACTTCTATATCTTAATTTAAAGTTTTATAATACGAAAATATATGTTCAACATAAGTACATAATACATAAGAATTATCTTATTTTAGGAAAATATAAAATTATTAATATAAATTCTTTTTAGTTATATAATATATAATAATTTTTATATGTTAATTTAAAATTTAAGTTTTATATATAAAATATATTTCAAGATAACAACATAACTCACAAGAATTATCTTATTTTCTAAAATATGATATATTCATATAAATTTGTTTTATTTATAAATAAACTATATATAAATATTAAAAATATGATAAATAAATAAAATTACCTAAACTTATGGAAGCAAATTTACTTCTTTAATAATAGTACTAGGTGATTTTCCCGTGCTCATGCACGGGCATAAATATTTATAAAATAAATATGTTATAATAGTTGATTGATATTTATTTTAATTTTTATATTAATTTCTATTTTTTATGTATAATTTATATTATTTTAGTTATATATAATTTTAGATATATTATATTTAGTCACTTTTATCATTTGGATATATATATATTGGATTCTATCTATTTCTCTCAATTCAACTATAATATTTTTTACTCTAAATACCTTAAATTTTTGATTAATTGTTTTATTTACATTTATGTTGGTTGTTATCTTAGAAATATAAATATATCGTAGTAAGATTATGTATTTTAAGTTTTTTTGTGCTTAGAACGAAAAAATAAAAACTAAAATGGCTGATTCTAAATTACATACATAAGTAATAATAAATTTTTGGAAGCATATGAACACATATCAATGTTTACAATAATTAAATATTTTATAAATTTTAAATAATTTATGCCTTAGATTGATTGAATAGTAAACTGAAATTTATTTTAAATAATTTTAAAAATAAGGAATTCTGATTTGCTTAAGTATTTTAATTATGGTTATATTAAATTCCACAAACATAAAAACAGAAAATTAAACATCAAAAGAGTTATTAAGAAAACATATAATTTTAACTAATAAAATATAATATATCTACCTCATTAAATTATAAAGTGTTATGATATTTTAAAAGAATTGTAGTTATTTGATTAAAAGATGTTTATTATTAAATTTATTTTTAGTTTTGTTTTTAATATCTCTTAAAATATGCAGTAAAAATGTGATTGTTTTTGAGAAATTATATTATATAAGTAAAATATAATTTATATTTTTGCTGTAACTCTAAGATATTATAATCAAATAAATATACTATTAATAATTTTTTTTATCAATTAAACATGTATCAGTTTATGTTACTTAATTATTTTATGTAATCATCTAATAAAATAGATAGATATATACAAAAACTAATTACTTTGAAAATATATATTTTATTTTTTAAATTATTTTTTTAAGAAAAACTGTTTCTTTTTCTAATATCAAGATTATTTGTATGAACTTTTTTTTATGAAAACACATTATATACAAATATTTTTTTTCATTTAAGAAGATATAGATATAAAGTATACTTACATAAAAAGTATAATTTATGTTATTTAAAAATATATTTAAGTTAAATATTACTAATTTGTAAACTTTCCTTTTTTATGAAAATATAATATATATATATACTTATTTTTCGTTTTAAATAGTTTTGTAAATTTTATAAATACTTCCTTTTTGTTTTATATTGTTATTTGGAAGATTTAAAAAAGGAAATAATAATATTTAAATATATTTTTAATTCATTAGGAGTATCATAGTAATTAACCAACGTAAGAATTAACGTGAGCACGACACATAAGAAAGTGACTTCTCAAATAATATTATAGAGATAGATTCACAACTTTTGGAATTAATGAGGATTGATATTATAATATGACTTATTCTTGGGTTCACCCCCTAAGGTGAACCTAGAGGTTCATCAACCAATAGGGTGGTGTTATTTCATATATGATATATTTAAAAAAAGGAAACAAAATCTTGTCAAGTTATATTATGTTTTTAAAACAAAATTTAGAAAAAAATAAATAAAAAATATTAATATTTACAAAAAACGAAAAAAAAATCTTTAAAAAAAATATTTTAACATTATATTATGCTTTAAAATAAAAGATAAAAATAAAATAAAAACAGTAATAATTTCAAAAAACAATTTAAAACAAAAAATATTTTAATATATCTTTAAAATAAAAACATGTGTTTAAAATAAAAAGATAAAAATAAATAAAAACTAGTATAATTGGTTAGTATTAATTTACCCAAGGATTAAGATTTTTCCAAAGGGTTTATGTTTACCCAAGGGTTTAGGGTTTATGATTAGGGTTTAGGGTTTAGGGTTTAGGGTTTAAGATTAGAGTTTAGGGTTTAGTGTTTTAGTGTTAATTTTAAAAAAAGTTTTTTTTCTTTTTTTTAAATATTATTATTTTTTATTTATTTTTGTGTTTTTATTTTAAAAACATAATATAACTTAACAAGATTTTATTTCCTTTTAAAAAAAATATCAAATATAAGTAACACCATCATATTGGTTGGTGAACCTAGAATAACTCTTATAAAATATAGATAGATACTTAATATATTCCACCAACTCAAATCAATCCTCTCAAACCCTAAACATCGACCTGTTGCGATTCCTTTCTCTTGAAGACTGCGCAACTCTGTCGTGTTTCTCTCACTAACTTTGTCCAGAGATTGAGGTTGTGCGAGATGGATTTGTCTTCGAATAGACAAAGACGAAGCCAAGCACAAGAGATTCATATTCCAACGGAACTGGTCACAGAGATTCTCAAGAGATTGCCTGCAAAAACCCTAATGAGATTCAAGTGCGTCTCAAAGCTTTGGGAATCTCTCATTCGCTCCAAATATTTCAGCAACCAATTCCTTACGGTTTCATCACAAAAATGTCTTTACATGTGTTTATCAGACATCAACGAAGATGACCCTAAGTCTGTAATCCTATCATTGGTACCAAACGCTACTAATCCGTCCACCTTTGTAGTTGACCACGATGTGACCATCCCATGGCTAGGATCCTACAACTTGCATAATCTTTGTGGCTTCATGTGGTCCTCGGATTCTAAAATCCCCCGAATCTACAACCCTGCAACCAGACAACTTGTGACCTTACCCGCCACAAGTCCATGTTCTCAAGGTTACAATACGTTCTACTATTTTGGGCACGACCCTGTTAACGACCAGTACAAACTAATCTGCTTAAACTCAAGTTATACATACATCAGAATATACAGAAAACCAGAGGGTAATATAAGATACTGTCTAATCGGTGGAGGACCACCGCCAAGTACGTTAAAAAGAGGAAGAAGAATACTGAAGCGGTGGGTCTTAGTCCTAAAACCTGGAGCCTCTTGGAAAGAGATGGATCCTACTTATAATCACATGCCTATTTCCAGACCAGGACTGTCTATCAATGGGAGAATATATTACATGGCAAATTATGTGGTGGTGAGCTTCAATATCAGATCTGAAAAGTTTAAAACGATCAGCGCACCTAGTGTACACGGAGGGCTCAAGAACAAGAAGGTGAGTCTTATCGAGTATGGTGGGAGATTAGCTCTTTTTGACCATACCCATCTTAAACACAAGGGTAAAGTAGCTTTGTGGGTTTTGGAAAATACCAGAAAAGAAAAGTGGTCAAAGAAGACTCTGGTTTTGCAGCCTTCTCATCTCAATTTGGTGGATAAAACTAATTTTGAGGTAAAAGGTACAACTCAAAGTGGCAAGGTTTTATTGATACCAAGTGATTTGCGTTCACCTTTTTATATTCTGTGTTATGATCTACAAAACAATGATATGACAAAGATTGATATCAACGGTCTACCAGACCACTGGTTTGATAAGAAAGCAGCAAAGAGATGTTTTAGCCTGATGTTCATGGATCAGAGTGAGAGCATCTTGTACTTGGGAGACTTGAACTAATGTTTTCGACCTTTATCATATGCATGCTTTGAAATTGAGAGCATAGCTGACTTCTTTTCAAAATTCAGTTTCTAAATTTAAAAGTTCCTTATGTCGTCATGTAATCTATGCTAGCGGTGTTTGTCAGTTTTTTTATATCCTTTAGTTTACTAGATGCATAGTCCCGCGTTTGCGGGGGTTGGATACATTGTTGATGTGTTGTGTAGTTTTGTGTATGAGACTTTGCTGTTTTTTTAATATTTGTTTATCTGGCTTATCTATAATGGTGATGAATGAAACATTAGAAGTCACCCAACTTGATTAGTTTGATAAAAGAATAAACATCAAATTCATATGAGTTGATATTTTCATATTTTATCTTCGTAGTGATTTTATCGAGCATTCCCTCTATTAGTGATTTTATCGAGCATTACTGTTATTAGTGCTTTCATGTAAAAAAATAATTTAATGGAGACAAGACAAAAAATGATATGTGTTTATTAGTGTAATTTTCTTTCTGAAATTATGTTGGATATATATATATATATTTTTTTTTTTTTTTAATTGTGATGTATATGAGATTTATGGCCGATCTGAATGGTTCGGGGTAAATATTTATTATTGAAAAAATATGTTTTTATTTTATTTGATTATTATAACTGAATTGAAATGATATTAGAGGTTAGAACATGATAACATTTCTTATAAAAGTATTTAAGATGGTCTCATAAAGTTTCAAATCCTTAAGCCATTTTGTATCCCAACAACCAGCATAAAAAATCATTTTGAATCTCCCTAAGCTTTTAGGTATCCCGAAAAGCCCAAATTAAAAAAAAAAATTACATGCAAACACTGCGTTTCAAATCCGCGCACTCGCGGTACCAACTTCTAGTCACCAACTTACACCACTGGGCCATTTCATCAATCATCGATAACATTTAATCTTACAAAATGTTATACATTTTTGTTTTTCCTTAATAACACACGTGGAGCCCGTAAACTTGCTGAGGTGGATAAGTTTAGGAGCCTTGAAAGTGTATCATTATAATATAGATTCTTTAACACAGCTTCGGTTAGTTTCCCCTCATATAAATATCTTTTATATATTCTTCTTTGTAAAACTATCAGATAATTATTTTTCTTCGGACATAACCTCAAATTCTCAACAAAATAAAAGCATGGTCTGTATTCGAAATCAGCATAGACAATGACAAAGAAAATGATTAACTGTGTGGTTCCAACCTAACCAAACCAAACCGGATTAACCTTTTTGATCAAGGGTCAATCCTATACTCTTTGCTTTATAATTACTAGGGTAAAACCCTGTCCTACGGGCGGACGTGATAAATAAATAGTACAAATTTATTTTAAGTATTGAATTTATTTTTAACTAAAAAGAGTATTAAGTTTTTATATTTTTAAAAACAATTTATCTATGTATTTTACCATTCATTTAAAAAATACAAATCTGTCTAATTATAATAAATTTGGAAAAAGTAATTATATACTTTCTCTCAGTATTTATTTTAGTTTAACTATACAAAATATGTCACATAGTTTTTTAAATTACAATTAAAGTAAGTAGAATAAAATTAATTTCTCTCTTAGTCGGGTTTCAGAATTACCTTAACCTCTAGTCGGATTGAATGAACTACCAATGAGATAAGGATCGACGAACACGGGAAGGTCGAGACTAAAAACGAGTCCACGCGGTTGTGAGCTGGAATGGCTTGAGTACGGGCCGCGATCTGGCTGAGATCAAAAAATTTGAATGCGGGATGAAGGATTCTCGATCAGAATGATCAAGGTGAGATTGGCGGCTGAACAAGGATTAGGGTTTCACACTGGCAAAAAGGTTATCGCTGTCAAGGGTTAGGGTTTTGTGGTCGAAACCTTTTAGCTTAGGGTTTTTATAGTTTCGTGCTGATAACGTGTTGTAAAAGTTTAGGAGAAAGTTATATCTTTCAATAATAACATAAGGTCCCTTTTATATAGGGATTACAAGATATAGAAATATGGAAAGATTAGAAATTCTAAACTCATAAGGAAAATGAAATATTACAAAACCTAATACAATTGGGAAAAGGAAAAGGACTAGGCGGTTTGGTCTATGAGCTGGTTAGGACTATCCGGCCTGGTTAAGGCAATCTACAATATGGTTTATAACAGATCGGATATTTGTTTGTAAGTTTTTTTTTTTCTGTAACCAAGTGTTTGTCAGTTTGGGGGAAACAGACCTATTTCAACCTCAACTTTACCATTCGTGCTTATTCCTTCACGAACTTTGTTGTAGTGCGTATTCCATACTAAACCAAACAAAAACTTAAAAATACTATATGAACTTTACAGATCGTGCATTTTCCTTCCTGAACTTTATAGTAGTGCATATTTCACACTGAACTAAACAAAAGTATAAAAATACAACACAAACTCTCAAAATCGTGCTTATATATAGTCCGTCAAATGTGCCAGTCATCCGTTAGTTTATCAAAATGATATCATTTTAAATCAACTTTATAAAATTAAAAATACTACATAAACTTGCAAAATCATGCTTATATATATTAATCATAAAGATATTACTCATCAGTTAATTTATGAAAACAACATCTTTTTGGATAAATTCTAAAAATTAAAAATACTTTTTTGGGAAGTTCAAACTTTCACACTGGTCGACAAGTAAGATCCTAATAATTTCTAGACCAAAGTAACTTTTTGTATAAATTAAACATTAACTTATATAAGTTTTTAATCAAATAAATGTTATCAATTTTTGTTTAATTTATCAAATCAATCTGTAATTATTTATGTTTTAAATTTAAATTTACAAATAATTATTTTGTAAAATTTAACTTAGTTATTATTAATTTAAATATTCATTTTATACTTGTCCATAAGTGTGAGAATTCGAACATAAATTTTTTTAGTTTTATAGAATTTATCCTAAATGACGTTGTTTTGATAAATTAACAAATGACTAACATCTTAATGATCAATATATGTAAGCAAAGTTTTAAGAGTTTGCGTTGTAATTTTAAACTAATTTACAGAATTTAAAAAAAAATGACGTCGTTTTGATAAATTACCATATGTGTAACATCTTTGATGGTTAATATATATATATAAACACGATTTTGCAACTTTATGTAGTATTTTTAAATTTCTATTTTAGAAAACTTATCGAAACTGACGTCGTTTTGATAAATTAATGGATGACTAACAAAATTTGATGGTTTATATAAGCACGATTTTGAGAGTTTATGTAGTATTTTTATATTTTTATTTAGTTAGTGTGGAATATGCACTGATATAAAATTCGGGAATGAAAAGGAACGATGAGTAAAGTTCAAGTAGTATTTTTTAAATTTTTATTTAGTTCAATATGAAATGTGCACTACTACAAAATTCGGGAAAGAATAGGCACGATTGGTAAAGTTTGGGTTGAAAATGACCATTTTCCCGTCAGTTTGGTACGGTTTGATAATGAACGTGACTTGACCAAAGCCAATTATAAAATCTGACTCGTTTTATATATCTAAACCGGTTAAGCCACATGGATTATTCTGGACCGGATCGGAACACTATATAAATCCAAAATTTCTTTCATTTTACAAACCCCCTTCTCGAATCATAGAAGCGGCCTTACTGGTAGGGTTAGGAAGCAAATCACCAGAGCTCTTCTTTCACGTGAGCAAGCTAGAAACTTGGTCTTCTTCTGTTAGGAGAGAAGAATGAAAGAGATTGTGACGATTCAAGTTGGAGAGTTCGCAAACTTCGTTGGTTCTCATTTCTGGAACTTTCAGGTTAAATTGGATTCTGGGTTTTGTTTCTCTTTGAGTTTCACAACATAAAGTCTTGAACTTTAGTCTTTTTGATCGTTGGGTTTTGCTAAAGTTGAAGACTTTACTAAGTTGGGTTTTGAGTGTAGGATGAACTCCTCGGATTGGCTAGTGACCCTGAAAGCGATCCAGTTTTTCGAAACAGTAACCTTGACATGGACGTCCTCTACCGCTCCGGTGAGACCCAACAGGTGAGATTAAGATACTTCTTTTGACTTTGGTCTTTTTGACTTCTGTAAAATCTCAAAAATATATAACAAACGTTGTTTATGTTGTGATGTTTTGTTGCAGGGAGTTTCTACATACACTCCTCGTCTGCTTTCAATCAACTTCAAAGGTACTAACTAATTGATCTTACTTTATTATTCCCATTAGAAGATTACTACATTCACTAATTTAGAATTTTCTTACCAGTTCCAATTAAGATGAACAAACTTTTATGATACTCATCTGTTTGCTTATATATGTTAAACATAACAATTCTGACAGTTTTAAATAAAATTGCTTCATTCAGAACAAGAATTTGAAATGATTAACTATAATTTTTTTTTATCTATTTACAAAACCAGTTTTCGTTCGGATACGAATCGTTTATTTCAGTTATCAAATTTTTAATTTTAAATTAGACTTTGTTCATGTATTAAGAAAAATCCAAAATATTCAAATAACTAATATACAATTAATTATATGTTCACATATCTAAATATATAACTCTAATCACTAAAATAAATATTAATATATAAGAAAAAAACTAATATCCTCACGGACGTGTGGGTCAAGTTCTATTTCGGTTTATTATAGAATTTCATTTTTTGCTTAGTTTTACTGTAATTCAACAACTCCTATGACAGATTCAAGGTTCTCTATTTGATTGTATCAATGGTGGTTCTATGTAACATTGTTCTTATTTCAGGGTCACTAGGCTCCATGAGCTCACGTGGTACTCTTTACAATGAAGGTGCTTCATCACGATCCGATTCTTCAAAAGCCTGGTCAGGAAATGCTAACTTTTTAATGGAATTTTAATCTTATTTGGGAGAATATATATTCACTTTGTGTCTTGGTATAGGTTTGGAGATGTGGAAACACAGAGATCCGAGCCTCAAAACATGAACTTGTTTCAACAAAGTTTATACAAAGAAGCAGAGATTAAGGACAAAGATATAGTTGGATACTTAGATG